GATCTGATCCAAGTACTCCTCGGTGGAATTGTCTATTTCCGTGTTGATGTCGAAGAAAGTCGACCGGAGGATGTCAACGAATCCTTGCTCGTTGTAGACGAAGCCGGAGTCAAGATCGGGATCGACCATAAATCGATTTCGTAGGGTAAGTGTTGGAGACTACATCCTTCGCTTCCCTAAAAGATCCCCCTTGAGAGAAAGAAGTTTCTCTCAAGGATAAGAGTAGAAAAGAAGGGTGATAGGTGGCCGGCCAAAGGAGAGGTTTGGAAAGAAAATATATAGAGATTTTTAAGGAGAGAGGATGGAGGAAAACTACGAAATTATTTCCCAAGTTACTCCTTTAACTTGGAAAGGATTTAGGCTTGATTTGGAAAGGGGTGGGGGCGGGTAAGAGAGAGGGAGTGCCTTTTTGAATTATTTTCAAGAGAGGGGCTTGAAGTTTGGAAAGCAATTCAATAGGGGACCATGAGGGAGCCGGCGTCATAGGGTGGATTTGGGGAGATTAAACAAGGTTTATTACTTTCTTAAATAGTACTCTCAAATTAGGACATAGGATTTAATTCCAATCCAATTCAAATTAAAATTGGATTTGATTTTAGAAACTTTCAAACCAACCAAGGAGGAGATTTCTATGAGCAATTCTTTGCTCTGACGCAGGAGAGATCAGTAGCAGACTACCGTAAGCGGTTTGAGCAGTTGGCCAGTAGGATGGAGAGATTATCACATATTGTACTAGAGGGGAACTTCATAAAGGGGCTAAAGATAGAAATCAGAGCGACAGTAAAAGTCCTGATGCCGCGGGACTTGGGGGAGGCCATGAAGTAACCACAGCTGGTTGAAAATCAGAAAAAATCTAGAGAAGGGAGTCAAAATCAGCAGCTCAGGAGGCTCTTATAGGATGATGACCACTCTTCTAGCACCCAAGGGGCCTGCATCAGGCAACATTAATGAGACCACCAGGGAGAAGCTAGTAGGAGGGAGTGGGAAAAATTTCAAGAGGCTGATAGAGATCGAGATGCAAGAGAAGAGGGCAAATGGGGTTATGCTTCCGATGTGACGAGAAGTATACTCCAGGGCATGGAGTCGGGATCGAACTCTTTAAGTTCTCACTATCTATGATAACGAGAAAACTGAGGAGCATACTCAATTCGAAGGAATTGTTTGATCTTAAGGGAGATCTTCTATAATTTCGCACGTGAGGGGTTATTTCTTGTTTTCGCCCAGTCATTAATAACTTGATTATTTTTAGATAATAGCAGATAGAAACAACGCTCGTAAGGAGTCGTATCGAAACCAATAAATATAGACCTGTCTGCCATCCACACATAATTTATAAAGTTTTTCGAAAAAACCTTCCAGTGGAGGAAGACCCCCTAGGGATAAGAGACATGGGCTGAGGTGAGCGAGAGATGGATGACAAGTTGCATCTGGATGTAGCAGAGGTCTCCATGAATTCAATAGTATGAATCACTTTGAATCATACAATGAAGTTTAAGGGGGAAATAAAAGGCATGGAGGTGGTAGTGTTGATTGACAGTGGGGCTACCCATAATTTTATTTTCGCTCAGGTCATCAAACAACTGGGAGTGAAATTGATAGACACCGATTATTATAGGGTGCTGATGGGTACAGGAAAGGTGGAGAAAGGTCAGGGGATCGGTAGATGAGTTGTGTTAACCATCCAGGGGATTCAATGAAGGATTTTCTCCCACTAGAGTTAGTAAGTACTGATGTCATCCTATGGATGAAAGTGGTTGCAAATCTTGGGGGAAACCAAGGACAATTGGGTAGCACTCACTATGGAATGAATAGTGGATGAGAGAGTGGTGTTTATAAGGGGAGATGCAAGCTATCCAAAGCCAATGTATCACTTTAGACCATGGTAGGAGCATACAAGAGGCGTGAGAAGATTATCAGGTGGGACTACACAGGCTAAAGGTGATCAAACTGGAGGAGGGAGGGGATGTTTCTCTTTCAGTGCAACCTTTGATTCAACAATTCAGTAAGATTTTTCAGCCACCTCCACGGGAACATAAGCATATTTCTACCTTGAGGACAAGGTGAATTTTTGGAGGGGAGTATTGTTAGGCCGGTCCAGCTGGTCCACGGAGGACTAGCCCGTGCGAAATAGATAGAGAACTCCGCCTCTCCTGCACGTGGCTCGCAAGCCGCCCGATTCCAAGGAGCGTTTTGGGAAAGTTTTTGAAGAGAGTTTGGAGAGAATTTTTAAATTAGGGGTTGTTTAGAGAATTTCTTTTGAATTATATGCATTAAATACTTTGTTTTCCTAGGATTAGGGCATCTTGAATTTGGCTGAAATTTGAGATCTCCTAGATTTAGGTTTTCTTTGGGCTCTAGCGGCGTCTAGAGATTTAGGAGATATCGATCCTCCTCTCGAGTAGAGAATCAATTGGATCTTGATATTTTTCGTTTATATTTCATCAAATAATACAAATTATCTACTATTTTTTGTGATTTTGTGCGGCTTTTTTAGGAGAGTTCTCGCTGTTTTCCGAAGATTGATGGGAAATACTTGAGATCTACAAGTGTTTCCTATCAATCGTCAAGGCAAAACATAAAAGACTTGGTGGTTCATTGCACTCTCTTCCTATTTTAAAATGGATGTGAGAGGAGATTATTATGGATTATAGTACACTGCCTAGATCAAAATAAGATCATGATACAATTTGAGTTATAGTTGAAATACTCACCAAGATTTCTCACTTCTTACGAATCAAGTACAATTATTTATTGCAGAAGCTAGTCTCAAATAAACTTTAAAGTTTTTGTTTAGGACAGCTTTTTTATTAATTTCTAGCACAAAAAATTCTAATTAAAAAAACATTTGTGATAAAAAATTATTTGAAAAAATAATGTAAAAACTATCTCAAATTAAACCTAAATTACCATGCAAATGATATGTATGGCAGCTCCTATAAAAGAGAATCTACACCATTAGATGCCAGATTTTCAAATGTACCTTTCTTACTGAGATTGGAGACTTAAATAAGAATTTTAAAAGTAAAAAGTAAAAAAGCAAAAGCAAAAGTAAAAATAAGTCAAACAGCCTAAAAAAAATCAATCGATTAAATTTATTTATCTTTTTTTTTTTTTAAGTTTATAATTCTTTGATAAATTTATAATATGTGAAATTTTAAGGAGCACGTCATTAATATAAATTAAGAGAAGAGCATACAATAAATAAAATTTAAATATGAGCAAATTTATCATTTAGTTCGGCGCATTTAATAGAATGCACCAAAAGATTTTGTGCATTCAATTTTGATGCATTCAGTTGAATGCACAAACGGTTTGATGCATTCTATTGAATGCCCAAATGATTTGATGCATTCTATTAAATATGCTGGAATATGTCAAAGATTTGGGTGCATAAAAATTTATTAAGAGATTAAATAAAAATTTATTAGTAAAAAAAAATTATAGAATTAAGAAAGTATGTTGTAAGTAATTAGATGAGGTTAATTTAATGAATTAAAAGAGTAGAATATAAGTAATTGTTATTAAAAATAAACGAAGTATGAGTTTAGATTAAAAACATTTAGCAATAAAGAAAAATGAATTGAAAGAGTAGAATGTAATTATTAAAAATATGACTATAATATAATTTATTGTTATTAAAAAAATGAATTAAGAGAGTAGATTGCAAGTAATAAAATAAATAAATGCATTAAGCGAGTAGATTATTATTTGATAGTAATAAAAATAAATTAATTAAGAGCCTATATTTTATTTTTTTAGTAATTAAAATAAATGTATTTGATGATCATAACTTAATCAAGAGGGTAGACTAATATTAATTAATTTATTTTTATTACTATCTAATAATAATCTACTTAATGCATTTATTTATTTTACTTACAATCTACACTCTTTAAGTCATTTATTTTTACTATTAATTTACTCCTTTTTAAAATTTATTTATTCCACACTCCTTATCCTAATATATGTTGATGATGTGCTTCTTCTTAAAATTTCACCTTCATAATATAAATGAATAACTAAATTCCAATTGAATTTTAAATTGACATCATAACAACTAAACTCATCACATTCTTAGCACATAAATTTCTAAATATGATCCAAATTAACTAAGATTATGTATATAATTTAAAATTTTTTTGGTATAAATTTTTTTCACTATTGTAATTATAATTTCATTTGACTATTACTTTCTGACAACTTTCTCATTAATTTTTCTCACAACATAAATTTAAATACTTTCATAATTATCATTTGGCTATTAATTATTAAAAAAATTTTGAATTAAAAATTTTTACACTAAAAAATTATTTTAAAACTTTCTCATTAATTTTTCTCACAACATAAATTTAAATACTTTCATAATTATCATTTGGCTATTAATTATTAAAAAAATTTTGAATTAAAAATTTTTACACTAAAAAATTATTTTAAAAAACAGTAAGAAAACTCTTTCAAAGGAAGACTAGATAGAAGAAGAATCCTATGAATAATTAGGATTTGGGTGTGTGGAAAGAACATAGAGCTACAAAAGGCAGTTTATGTTGGTTCAAATATGGTTCAGAAAGGTCCCATCACCACTCATGACACCCATTTCTTCTATCAAGCCTCTTAAGAAGACAACAAACAGTTTCCATTAATCGCAAATATAAAACATCAACAGCCACATGATGTAAAATATATAGTATTCTGCAGTACTTATCCGCTCCTATCTTCCTTAGGCGCCCTCTCTCCAAATGGAAATCATTATTGCAGTTCAAAAATGTCTTTTAACTACTTTGCAAGATAACAATCAAAACTGTTGTACATCATAGCTGTTTTTACCTAGCCAAATATGATCATTCTGAGAGAAATTATTAGGTGCAGATACTGGACAGAGAGAACCGTCCGATTTTCTCTCAATCAACAGTAAAAATATAGTTACTGTAGCAGCTACGCTTTGACTGCGCTTTCAGAGAGAAAACCAAACGATTCTCTCTGTCCATCATCCGCACCTAATAATTTGCCGCTAGTGAAGCAAAATCCTTGAAAAAGAAAAATCCATCATAAATAATTTTTCCTTATTTAAAAACTTAGCACTTACCACTTAAAAACATTATGGTTGTAAATAGCAAACATCACGTCAACATTAAAAAAGAAAAAAAGACGAAAAAAGATCTAATGCCTGACCACATGCAAATGGTGCATTCCCCCTCACCTCAAAACACTTCAAATAGCCACCGCTGCCTCCTCCCTTCTCCATCACTCTCAGCTCATCACCTCTATTCTTACCTGCTCCTTTTTCTTCTCCTCTCCATTACTTCAGCTAACATCCTCTTCTCACCTTCTTTTCGTCTGAGAGCAATAAAAACATATAAAAAGAGGTGAAAGGAGGTCGAAGATGGAAAGAGAAGGAAGGGAGATGGTGGCCAGGAAGCAAGGCAGCGGTGGTGCAGCTGTGTCGCCGTGCGCTGCGTGCAAGCTGCTGAGAAGAAGATGTGTGCAGGATTGCATATTTGCACCTTACTTCCCCGCAGATGAGCCACAGAAGTTTGCCACTGTGCACAAGGTCTTCGGAGCCAGTAATGTCAGCAAGCTCTTGCAGGTTTCTTACTCCACTCTCTTCCTCTACAGGAATTCAAAGTCCAATAAAAAAAAGAATAGCACATAAATTCAAGGATTTATAGGTGGAATTCTGCCAAGATTAATGTTTTTTCCCCTAAAAGTGAAGTTGGTTTCACATAATTGATCGTGTAAGGTGCAAATACAACCAAAATTAGGTGCATGAGAATAGAGTGGGCCAACAACATAGCATTTTATGATATATAGAGTATTAAAAAAGACGTGAAAATGTGTTTTCAAGAATAAGAAATTAAATCAAACTCAAATAGTTAAATTCAACTGAACCAAACTGCCAAATTCATATTTTACGCATCCCACATCCTGAGAAATGAGTTGCAGACTAAAAAGTAGCAAATGAGTTCAATCCACTGAGCATCAATGACCTCATTGTCATATTCCATGGCGAAGATGAAACAAAATGAGTAAAGGGAAATAAAAAACAATCACAGAATGCTATAAAAAAAACACTCCATTCCATTGCACCTAGGCAAAGCAAATCAGCATAACAAAACAAATAAAAAAAGAATGAATGCAATGAGGGATAGAGACAATGAGACCATAACCTGAGGCTGAGCATTTGCTGTTGTGAAAATGTCCTGCAGGAGCTGTCGATGGTGCAGCGGAGCGATGCCGTGAGCAGTCTGGTTTATGAAGCGAATGCGCGGGTGAGAGATCCTGTATATGGCTGTGTTGCCTCCATCTCCTCACTCCAGCGCCAGATTAACCTCCTCCATGCGCAACTCGCCCTTGCACAGGCTGAGATAGTCCACCTCCACCTTCAAAATGCTGCTTTGTTTGCTTGCACTTCCACCGTGGCCATGGCTCCACTCTGCAGTGATGCTACAGCTTCAGCCAACACATCACAGTCAGTAATTGACAGTGGAAATATCAATGAAAAGACAATCTTCAGCATTGACATGCTCCTTGACCATGCCAATATTGGTCTCCCCATGTGGTCTTGTTAGCTCTCAGTGTTATTTTCTTAGTCTGATATCTCTATGTTAGTCTCTCCAACATATAAATATGTTCAACAATAAGATAGTATGTCATAACTAGTTTGCGGATTTCTCTAACCAATTATGTCATGTAAATTTATGCGTGTTCTTCCAATGTCAGAAGCATTCAACTGTGGTTGTGTGTCCTTGTACGTTGCAAGATTAATTTTCCAATCTCATATCTAGAAAGGAATGGCACATGGTTTAAATTTGAAATAGATACCAGAATGGAATCAGAACGAAGAAAGATGATCATCATTGTATTCTTCTGTTGAAAAATACTAGGAATATTCAATGAACACCAATATGGAAATTACAGCTTAGTTCTCAAAAAAGCATGCAAGTCAAAGACCAAAAATAATGATGACAAGGGAAACCATAAAGCATGTTATTCAAACACCATGGAGAATTGGATTATAGAAAACCACAGGTTTTGTTTGGGACGGCTTTTTTATTGCTTCTTAAAAAGGAGTTTTAGTACAAAAATTTTAATTTTCTAACTAAAACTCCGTTTTAAGAAGCAATAAAAAAGCCGTCCCAAATCACAATTAAAATGGCTACGTTGCATGAGTATTAGGCAATAGATAAAGCCACTGAAAGCAAATTTAGTGTAGCATAAAAGAGAGATTTTTATTTTTATTTTTAACATATAAGAGAAAGGTGGACGTCTAATAAAATTAGAAAAATATAAACTGACAAATAATTATATTAAAAAGATGATGGAAGTGATACCTATTAAAGATAATATAATTAAAAGATAGAATTAGATTCTTAAGACTATATAACGAGGGGCAGAAGATGCCCCGAATGACATGGGTTGATTGAATTCATGAAGATTGTGAGGAAAATGAGTAGACAATAAATAAGATGATTATATGTTTTCCGAGGAGACTTATACAAATGTAGTTAAGTTTCATAGAGCATTTAATAGAAATATTAGAAATTAATGAAGAATGATTATTTATAATGTTGAAACCAAATAATTAGAATGGGACTTATAATGATGATGCTGATGACAGGCCATCTCATATGAACAGAAGATTGACCAAAGTTTATGCAAAAGGATGGGGAAGATAAATATTAAAAACAGTAATAAAATGCCTGAAAGAATAAAAAAATAGAAAGGTTATCACACAGCAACAGTGGCTGCAACCATCAAAATATGAGAAATGAGAATAATATGTTGTACTTTTCTGCATCTCATTATGTTTCCCATAGAACTTGAAGTTCCTAGTTCTACAAAATTTCTTTTAGTACAATGAAGGAAGTCATAAGGGGAACGGGCTTCGTTATGTGTGACTTTCAACCTTAACCTTTGTCATAGGTTGAACATATAACAAAAAAGAAACCCTGCCAAAGCACAACAGTTTAATTGTGCTGAAATTAATGAATCCTTCCTAAAATAATTATTCTTTACAACTTGATATGAATTTAAATTTTTGTTTCTGAGTTTTTTTTTTTTTTTGAATGTTGAGTTTGTTTTCATTTATATTAAGAGGCATAGAGTCGAGTTGTAATTTGGTAAGAGTCAAACAATAAGATTCTCACACTGTTTTTGCTCAAACTTCCTCATCTATAGTCCTATGGCTGCAAAATCGAAGGGAACCTTACCTTTGTTCAAACTGCAAGCTTTTCTGCTTTGCCTTGTAATTGTCTTTTTGGCTCAAGTTTATGGACACTTTAGCTGTGGTTCACTATTGAAAGGGAAAGTGATAGGAAACACTTGTAGATTTCAAGTAAATCCTATCAATTTCAGAAAATCTAAGAGAAAACTCTTCCACACTAAAAAAAAAAAAGTAATTTTATTGCAAGAATCAAATTGAACGGAAGAAACAACAAGATATAAGTGATCCTCTATTCGAGAGGAGGATCGATATCTCCCAATCTCTAGACGAATCCAAAGCCCAAAGCTTAAACCTAAGAGATCCCAAATTCAGCCAAATTCAAGATGCCCCAACCCTAGGAAAACAAGATATTTAATGCATACAATTCAAAAGGAAATCTCTAAATAGTCCCTACATTCAAATTTCCCTCCCAACTCCCTAAAAAATCCTTCCTAAATCCTAAACGGCTATGTTCGCTTCAGCGGCTCGTTCGGCGCGTGCAGAAAGCCGGAACTTCTCTGCCTGTTTTGCACGGCCAGACCCGTCGGACCGGCTGGACCGATCCAATGGACCAGTTTAACAAAAAGCCTTTTGCATGTAAATTTCTCATGCGAGAACACATTATTTGGATTCTCAAGTAGGCTAGGCTCTCGATTTCATCAAGTTCTTTTACCATGAGGTATCATAGCTTGTTTTGTGCACATGGTCTTTGGCTTTGCTAGATCCTATAACTTGCTTATGACCAAGTGTGTGAATTTGTTGACGATTGCATATTGTGATTGTGATGTTTGAGACTTCTATTGCGTCACATTTTGGTAGTCCAAAATTGAACAACAGTTACACCTCTTGGAAAACTTGCATTAGGCTATATTTAATCGCTCAAGGTCTCTTGTATGGTCAATATCATTTAAACAGCGGTGAAACTAACCTTTCATTTTAGGGAGGGCAAAAGTTTTATATAAAGAAAAAAAAATAAAATAAAATGAATACATAATTCCTGAAATTTTATTTAATATAAAATCATAATGATAATAATGAAATTTTATTTATTACCTAAAATTTTATTTAACCAGAAATTGCTTACACATCTAGCTCAACCAAGTTTTGAGGTTTATTGAATTCACTCTCATGTTTTAATCCTGGATCTGTGAATTTTGATCTTGCTTTATCTACTTGATAAGTAGGAATTTGTGAATGACATTAGGAAGTTAATTTTTGTTCTTTTTTTTCTCTTTGAAGGTAAGCTAGATCAATCCTTTTTTACCAAAATAAATTTGACATCAATGAATTATAAAAACTTTATTTCCCATGTTAATATTTCAATGGATTAAATCTGAATTTATAATATATTTGACATCAAACAGGATTCGATAGCAATGCAGTATGAATAAATTCGACATCAGTGAGAAGTTTTGAGGTTTATTGAATTCACTCACACCAAAGAAATGGATTGATGCAAATAGAATGAAAGTAGGATTTATAATAAATTTAACCGTGAAAGCAGACATGCGAAATAAGAATAAATATGAGGATTTCCAATAAAACAAATATATTTGAGACAAAATCAAAGGCAACGTTTGTAAATCCTCATATTTCTTTGCATGCGAAAAAGAGAGCATATATGCGAAAATAGATCAATGGAAAATAAATCAGCAACTCACCGGAGAAGCTTAATAGAGACATGACACCAACGACAGACACTGCAACCGTGGACGGCCTTCGATTCAAGGAAGGCTAACGTCGGGCCGCCGGAATCGGGAGAGTCGGAGAGGAACTTCCAGGCAGTTAGGACAAAAGGGGGGAAAATAAGAGTATTAGGGGGAGCAAATGACTTAGATGCCCCTCACTTATAATTTTTTTTTTGTTTTTTTTTTTTTTTGGGGGGGGGGGTTGCATTGTCGATCCACGACATAGGATTGCAATTATTTAATTAGTTAA